CGGCTGGGGGTGATGTGGACCGGCGAGGGGGTGAGATGGGGTGATGGGGACCGGCGTGGGGTGATGGGTACCGGCTGGGGATGAGATGGGGACCGGTGGGTCCGGGTCGGGGTCTGGCTGTAGGTTCGGATCGGGGTCCAGATCAGGGTCGGGATGGTGATTGGGGTCTGGGTCCGGATCCGCTCCCGCCCTGGGCGCCCGCCCGGGCCCGGCCCCGCGGCGCTGCCACGTCTGTCCCCGACCCTCCCGCGGCTCCGGGCCACCGCTGTCCCCCAGCCCCGGCCCGTCCCTCCCCAGCCCGCCCCACGCACCTTTGCGGGCCGGCCTTGCCGCCCGCGGGCAGCAGAGCCCCGAGGCGCCGCAGGGAGCGGGCGGCCATGGCCCCGCACGGAGCCGGCCGGGAGCGGCGGAGGAGGCGGCGGCGATGCGCCCGCGTCACCGGGGAACTACAGCTCCCACACCGCTCTGCGGGACGGCGGGCGGGGCCGGGAGGCGGCGGGGAGGGCGGCGAGAGGGATGTGAGAGGGATGCTGGGGATGAGAGGGATGCGGGGATGCGGAGGATGCAGGGATGCGGAGGATGCAGGGATGAGCGGGATGCGGGGGATGAGAGGGATGCGGAGAATGAGCGGGATGCGGAGAATGAGCGGGATGAGCGGGATGCGGGGATGCGGAGGATGAGCGGGATGCGGAGGATGAGCGGGATGCGGAGAATGAGCGGGATGCGGAGGATGAGCGGGATGCGGAGAATGAGCGGGATGCGGGGGATGAGCGGGATGCGGGGATGCGGAGGATGCGGGGATGTGCAGGATGAGCGGGATGCGGGGGATGAGCGGGATGCGGAGGATGAGCGGGATGCGGAGGATGAGCGGGATGCGGGGGATGAGCGGGATGCGGAGGATGAGCGGGATGCGGAGGATGAGCGGGATACGGAGAATGAGCGGGATGCGGAGGATGAGCGGGATACGGAGAATGAGCGGGGTGCGGAGGATGAGCGGGATGCTCCGCCCGACGTCGCACATGCGGCTCCGGGACCCCGGGATCCCTGGGGTTGGGCTCCGGACACAGCCGCTGTCCCCGAGGCTTGGACCGGACACACGGCAGCACTCCCGGGACTSGGACCCGGACACAGCACCGGACACACAGCACCGGACATGGTCCCCTGGGGCTCGGCTCCGCCCTCCCGGGACTCGGACCCAGTCCCAGCTCCTGCCCCCGGCGGAGTTCGGAGCAGAGTTCGGAGTTGGCACCCCCAGCTCRGACCCAGAGACACACAGCTCTGATCACCCCGGGCACACGGGCCGCTGGCTGAAGCAGCCTGGGACAGTGGAAGGTGTCCCTGCCCCCTAGAATGAGATGAGCTTTAAGGTCCCTTCCAACCCAAACYGSTGTGGGATTCTCTGCTGTGCTTCCATCGGGCTGTTTGTCCCAGCAGCCGCTGCTGCAGGGGTGCCAAGCCCACCCCAGCCCACCCTGCCCCTTCCCCCGGGAGCAGGAGCAGCATTCCCACCCTGCTCCCTCAGCCAGAGGACCCGGGCCAGTGCCAGCGTTTTTATTAAAAGCTGCTTACCTGGGTACTAACCCAGGCTGTGCAAGAGCGWGCTCCAGAGTTTAATTGTGGCAGTCCATAGCAGGGGGCGACTCCCTTGCTCCCAGCATGAAAGCTGGGGCCTTTCCTTTCCATTCCTGTCCCGTGTTTCTGCCTGTGCTGAATGACCTGACCCTATTTCTCTTTTCTGCTCCAACAGCACTTCTGGTTTGGTTTTTTTTTTTTAATTTTTATACTTCCCTTCGCTCCTTTTTAATCACATGCCTTACCAACCTGTGTCTGAGCGCAGCAGCAAGAGTGTGAATGTGCTGGTGGCCAGGAGAGAGCCCTGTCCCCTCCCCTGCTCCCCCAGAACCAGCATGAGACCAGGACAGAGCTGGGCTGCCTCCATCCCCAGCCCTTTGCAGCGCTTCTGAGCTGTGTAGAAAGGGTGAAAGGTGCCCACTGTTAATTTGTTTTCAAATGCTGACGCTTGAGCTTCCTTCATTCCCAAGGGAAGKCAGCATGCCCTCACCCTTACTGCCTTAAGGACAACATGGAAATACTGGACAAAGGCACGTGGTTGAGGCACAGCAAGCTCGAGCCATGAGGAACCCTGAGATGAGACCCTGCGGAGCTGGGAGCGGTGAGCAGGTGAACAATCGGCATCTCCGACGGGGCTGGTCCTGAGCAGCTCCTGAATCCCARCCCTGAGGGGGCCACAAAACCCCARCGAGTCCGTGGTTCCTTTGGAAAGTGGTAGCCTGGACACACAGCAATCCCCATGCTCTCCCTTCTGCCCCSCTTTGGGGCAGGCTCCCCCAGAGCTGTGTTTCCCAGTAGTTCGTGAACCTTTATCCACAAGGGACTCCCTTTCCCCCCTCCTCCCCCGTCCCTCCCGCCCCTTCCCCTGGTTTATAGTGTTGCCCTGGAGGCAGGTGGTGCCGCAGTGCTGGGGGCTGCAGAACGTCTCTTTGCCTTCCCAGCACCCTCGCAGAGTCTTGGAGAAAGGGGCTGGCAGCTCCTCCGTGATCCCCACTGTCTGTTGAGGGCTTGGCAGGCTGGCTTAAGTCTGCTTCTTTTCCCATTCCTGTAGAGAAAGGGAAAAAAGGAATGAGGAGACAGAGCTGGAAAAACAACACTGAGCCCTTCAAGGATCCCTCCCTGCTGGGGGCTCTGGACCTAAAATTTTCCCAGGCTGGGGTCACTGTTGCGTCAGGAATTGCAGAGGTGATGCTTTCTCCCTTCCCACCCAGCCCTGTAGTTCCCAAATTTCCCCACAACCGGGGCTCATACCAGGGCACCCTGGCAGCTTTGGGGTGGGGAGAATTCCCAGTACTCCCCAAATTCACAGCCAAGCAAGGGGAACAAAACAAACACGGAGATTGTGTGCAGCCAGGACCTTGGCTTTCTGCAGCACGCTCCCCTTGCTGGCAGGGGTGATGGAGGGACTCCTCTTCCTCAGCTCTGCTGCACAGTTCACAGGGACCAAGTGCTCAGGGGGGCTCCCGTTGGGCTTGTTTGGAGTTTCCTGTGGAAAGG